ACAGCAACCCAAAACAGGATAGCTTTAAACATATGTAAATGATAAATAAACATAAACGTGTAATGTATAACGCGAAACCATAAAAGATTGTAAGGTCAGATAACAATAACTAACAATCATGATTTAACCAATCTGGAAACCAGTGAAAAAGTAATGTTGCCTCCTGGCAGACATGACTTTCCCATATGGTCTAGCGGTTAGGATTCCTGGTTTTCACCCAGGCGGCCCGGGTTCGACTCCCGGTATGGGAACTGCTGTTTTTGTCTCAAATTCTAGTATTTAGGCTTTTAATGATGATTTGACATTGGTAGTAATACAAGCAATACATAAAACCATTCAGTAATTTTTTTTTCCTATTTGATACGTCTGGCACAGCATGCGGTCAATATTTCCAGGGAATCGACCCCGCCCGTCAGGGAGTTTTCGTCAGTTGCTCTCATCTCACAAGGGCTTGGACATTCCCGGAAGATGCCTGTTCCCACTTTATATCTCCATGACGCCTGTCGTAATATTAACAGAGTACAGGGGAACAAAATCTGCTCAAACTAAACCCCAAGTTTCGCGTGTAACACCGTCATTTTCTCTTTTCTCAACTTAATTTTTAAGTACATTGTGTCTGAAGCTGTGGGTTGTCTGTAAAAATCGCACCTGCGACTTCGTAACGGTATAAGTAAAATTAATTCACTTTTAACGTGTAAATAACTTGAAAAAATCCAACTTTGCTGCGCATGACACACGCAAATGACAATTTTCCATGACGTGTATAAAAATTATGAACCATTTTTTGCCGTTTTTTTAAACTAAGAAACTTTTTTTAAAAAACGCCTTTTAGCTCTTAAACCGCTTCCGTCTGCTTCGGACTCGCGTACTACTACCACGCTTTGGGAAAACTTTGGTGCCGGGCCAGCTATTTCCCAGGAAAATGTGACTGATAGGAATTCCCCACGCATCAGCCCCCGCCGGAGAAAACCTCGACCTTGTGTCAGCAAGCACACGAAAGCAGCGGGAGGGTAAGCTGACCGGTGACTGTGTGATGATGTAGCTGTAGCACCGTAAAGTCTCCAACTCGCTCCAGGGATGTTTTTCTAACGTCGCCGCTTCTTAAAAAATAAGAGAACAGCTTCTTACTGGCTATACAAAGCCGGGGAATATAATGTACTGATAACTTCTGCTGGGGTAAGTACATCTGGGATTTAAAAGGCATGTTTTACAGTAATTGCTTGTTTTTTTTTGTGACTAACAGCGTGGGTGCTAACGTTGAGATCGCCTTAATGTACATTTTTCTTTTTATGGATACAGGAAATAATGTGTTTTGTCACCACATGTAAGCATTTATATACTAAATGCACTCTAAAGAAACACGACTGAACCGATATGATGTACTAGAAGCTGCCACACGACCTGCAGGGCTTTGCTCTGCCTTGCTTTACTACTCCATAGATTTCTGTGACTCCCCTTTGTGTCAGTCAGCTGGCATGTGACTACATGGTGTGATGGTGTGTGTCTGTATGAGTGTGTGAAAAATAGTTCAGATCAGCTATAACAGAAGAGTACCAGGGCACTTTTTCTGTCTCCACTTTTGTTTTACTAGATGAGAGCTTTCATTTTGTCCTCCATTATGAAAAATATAGCCTTGACCCCAGGTCAGCTGCACTAACTATAGGCCTAGAAAGTGTGGAAATTGAGAGTCTGTGCATAACTAGCCAGTTAGAGCAATATTCAAATTGGCATATCTTCTATCTCTGACTGCAATTAAGTGAGATTACAGATGAAATGACTGCTCATTTGAATAATTTTCTAAGCATGAATGTCATTTTTCATGTCTGCAGTCATGGTGAGCTGGTTGTCTTTTTTTGGCCTTTCTGTTACATTAGATCAGAGCTGTTTAAATGTGTAATTTCAACTTCAGCTACGTAATTATGTACAATTTTCATAATTTCCTGAAATGTTCTTGAATAAAATACAAATATATGCTATGAGAAAGTATGTTGTACTGAAACACCCTGAGGTTTCCTCACAGGGGTCTCTCTGTCTCTGCAGGATCAATGAATGTTTACTGATTTACACAAATATAGATCCGGCATGCTTGACAGAAGTGTTGATCAGCCCTATTCTGTAGTGAGTCTAAATGTTTGCCAGATGTTTACATTTTTGCTCTGAGATGCTTGTATCATGGGAACGACAAACACCGTCTGATTGGCCGGCCCTTCGGAGCAGGAGGCCGTGACGCAGAGGGAAGAGGTGGGGGGATTTAAGAGCTTTTAGTCTGACGGCCCCACTAGAGACGGGAGCAGCTGGACCCACCAGTCCTTCACCCACCCCTCTCCCCTTTAGACTTCCCATGGTGGGAACACTGGCAGAGAGGCTTGTGGATAATTGGAAACTTCAATCCACTGAAAGCAATTATCCAGAACAAGACTTTCCAAATATACTCCAGTGTGGAGTCTTGTTTGTTTCAAACATGTGCTCCTTGTTTTAGGAACATCTTGCTACGCTGCTGCCCACACTTTGCCCCTTTCCTCTCTGCTTTTCATTGCTTTAATGTTGCATAGGCTTCATCTGTGTGGACTTGAGCACTCTGCGGATAGAGTACTGTGTGGTTTAGGCTAAAGCAGTTCCTGTTAGCCTTCTTATCTTGTGACAGTGATGTCACCATCAGCAGCCTGAGCAGCTGAGGAGTCTGAAGATGACCCAGGACAACAATGGAGAGTCCTTGTGTTTCTTTAAGTGTTGAAGGGCTCCTCAGACATCAGATATGTCTCCTTGCCCAAGATGTACCCGCCTGGCTTAATGGGCTTCTGGATATTGATTTAACTACACAAAAAGAAGAACTGAGCTCTTATCCCATTTAGAAAGCAGCACTCCAGTTTCATAATAAGCTTTCAGAGCAGCCTTGCTGCAGAAAGGGAATATAGTAGCTTTTTTTTGGTTGCAAGTTGGTGTATGTGGTAATCTTTGAAAACAAACAACAAACTTCTTACAAAACTCAGAGATGTTTGAGTATCAAGAGCTAATATGAAGTTCTGTTATCTGGTGCTTTAGTGCCCACACATGCAATTTCAACCTCAATAACTGCGTAATGACTCACAATTTCTCATGGCCACCAAATCTGCTCAATGATCCTTGCTTGTAGGTGTAAATTAATGCCTTAGAAATAACCACAAGATGGCAATGTTCATATGCTAAACAAACAATCATATGGGAAGGCTGAAACCTCAAATGACTTGCATAAATGCAGGAACTGACTTGTGAAAAGAGAAACAAAACTGTTGAACTTCCCCCTTTTTTCCACATGTAGAAAAATACCCACGTCTGTCTGTTTTCTGTTAAAGGCTTGCAGGGGAACTGCTGATTGCAAAGTTCCTTAATTGTATGCTACTGTTGAACCAGCCCAAGCCGTTGACACCTGAGTATCACCTTGTCAGACACGTTTGATTGCTAGGCAGCAGGAGCAGCAATGAACCCCTGCCATTGGACATGACGTCAGAGAGAAAGGAGAGACGGGAAATTCCACCTGTAACCTCGTTCTGCTCTTATGCTGCTTGCCTCACAAGCATGTGACTCGGTCTAGTCATTAGACCTTGGTTTCTTCATCGATCTGCATATTTTTTTATGACGTAAAGCATTGATAATAACTAGAACTATATTTAGCATGTAAAGGAGGACAACTAGATTGTGTAATACAAGTATCTAGCTGTGATACTTGGAAGTTAGGATGGGTTAGTTTTGTGAATTCTGCCATTCTTTACTGTGAGGCAAGTTTCCTTCCTTGAATCATGAAGCATCATTGTAAAACCTATACCTATGCTTAGCTTATTTGTTAATTATGAAAAAGCACATTGGGGCACTAACAAATCCTTTGTGTTTCAGCCAAAACAATACTGTGCACATGTGGCCAACATCAGTAGCAGACAGGTGAATGTAACCACATAGCTAAAGAGATAGATAGACTCACTTGTTACTTCATGATGTACATCCGTTTAACTGTTTGTTAACACAAAATATCCAATCAGCCAGTCACATGGCAGAAACTCAGGTTTGTATTTACATGCATTTAGGCATGTAGACTAGGGCTGCCACGATTAGTCGTCTAGTCACGATTACGTCGACTATCAAAATCGTCGACGACTATAATAGTCGACGCGTCGTTTGAAGCTTTGTAAGATCCCAAAAGCCGCAGGAATAAGTAGCAGGATTTAAGAGTGTAATAACGGACTGAAACAGAAGATGGCAGCACTGCATGTACAAGGATGCCAGCTGCCGTTAAACCCCGAAGAAGAAGAAGCTGTGTCCCAGAATTCATAGCGCAGCCCAGCTCAGTTTCCAACAATGGCGGCAGCTAGTTAGTTTTAATATTACTCTTATTATTCTTTCTGGGTCACAAAATAAACGTTTAACATATTTTCAGGCGAGAATGTAGCTGTGTAAACCTCAAATATCTGCTCAGTTTATCAAGACACCGCATATTTTCAAAAGCGCTCCGACGTTTTCGGAGACGTCTGTTACCCACTAGCTCGATAGCTAGCCGGGGGCTAGGTCACTAGCGCCGTGAGAACACCGGACTCCGCAGATCGTTTTCAAACCCACCGCTGTCTTTCGCTACTCAGGTTAAACATGATATATGAGTCACTGAGATAACTTAAAATGTTATTGTTTGGCTTTTTTTTTAGTATTTTATTTGTTCCTGAGTAAATCGGTTTGGCTGAGATTAAAGTTATAGTTTTTACACAGCTGAATAAACGTCAAGCAGACAGCTGATTATCAGAAGTGTGAGATGAATCGAGAATATACTCCGGTGTCCTGTTATATTTTAGATAGTAAGGAGTTTATTAAACTTCACCGAAACAATCTGCAAGTTTCATTAAAATTTAATAAACTATCATCTTGTCTTTATTTTTAGTTAGCACAGACCTTAAACACTTCAAGCTGTAAGCTAATGATAGTTATATAAGAGCAGATGCTGCTGGTGCAATAAGCTGTACGTTTTACTCCAATGGATGATGATCTGATTAGTCGACTAATCGCAAAAATAATCTGTGACTAGTCGACTATCAAAATAATCGTTTGTGGCAGCCCTAATGTAAACATGGGCAAGATGATCTGCAGCTGAAGTTGAAACCGAGCATCAGAATGGGGAAGAAAAGTGATTTAGTGACTTTGAATGTGGCATGGTTGTTAGTGTTAGATGGGATAGGATGGGCTAGAAGTTCTCTAGGTGACAATGCTTTGTTCTTGTCAGAGGTCAGGGGAGAATGGTCAATTGGACTGATAGGAAGGCAACAGTAACTCAGAAAACGTCTTGTTATAACCATGTATTTGCAAAAAGCAAGCCCAAATTGGAAAATAGAAGATTGGAAAAGTGTTGTCTGGACTGATCAATCTCAATTTCTGATGTAACATTGAGATGGTAGGGTTGCAATTTGGTGTAAACAACATGAACGCATCCTGCCTTGGGGGTACTGGTCAAATTGTATGGAGAATATTTTCTTGGCACACTCTGGGCTACTTAGTGAAAATTGAAGATCAGTTAAAGCCTGCCTGAATATTGTTGGTGAACGTGTCTGTCCCTCTATGACTACAGTGTACCCATTTTCTTATGCGACTAAAGGATAGCACACTGTGGCACAAAGCTCAGATTATCCCAAACTAGTTTCTTGAACATGACAATGAATTCAGTGTGCTCAAATGGCCTCTACAGTCACCAGATCACAATCTAATAGAGCACCTTCTGATACAAGAGATTCACATCCTGGATTACAGTAACTGTGTGATGCTATCATGTCAACGTGGAACAAACTCTCTGAGAAATGTTTCCAGCACCTTGTTGGATATATGCCATGAAGAATTAAGGCAGCTCTGAAGGCAAAAGGTGATCGAACTCTAAACAGAGTACTAGCAAGTGCCATGTCAAAATATTTCTACCCCAAGTTGGCAATAAATCTCCAAATTAGCTTTATTTTTATTTTCTATCTAAAGGGGAGGCTAAGTCTATGCTAATAATAACACAGTAACAACTAATGAACTGGGCTAAATGTGCCCCCATAAAGGTTGTTTGTTATCATTGGCTACGTGTCTTTTAAAAACGAGGCCTGTAAAGCATTTATACAGACTAACTGAAATTATGGGAGGGGAGAGTTATTTGGGTTTATTGGCTTTACTTTGAGGAAAGCTTTGAATCTGGGTGCATCATAAAACTTATACGATTAATTTGTTTGTTATTAAAAAGCACACATTGAAAAATCACATATATTTGTGTATTGGTGTTAATGATTATTGCCTTTTAAAGGCACTATGGGGTTTGGTGCCATAAGACAAAACTACTTCCTCTGTTCATTTCTAGTCCAAACTAACAGCCTATTTGCACTAACTTTATATTGATCGGGTAGCAAAATTGATCCTCTAATCTGAACCCTAGCAGGAAATTAAATAAGTATATTTCATTACTGTTCCTTTTAAGTAAAAAAATCAAGAGAATATAATGAATTTATATGCAGCTGGGAAAACTAAAACCCTTCAGATGCTAAGAAAAATAACATAATTTAATATTTGGCCAGAGCACACAATCCAGTCTCAGTGTATGACTTTGTCTGCGGGGAAAACTGCTGTAGGTTGTTGGCTCTGGCAGCATGTTGACTTCATGAGATTAGTTAACCATATTACTTATATTTTTTATGGTGCCAACTGAGGTCCTTGTAGACCCACAGTGTAGCATGTTGTATCACTGATGTATGTGTAATTACATTAAGGAGTGGCTTAGTTTGTAATGTTCTAGCTTTGACCACACGAAGTAGTTCCTCACAAAAATAGAAACTGGCTTCGTCTGCAACTTTGGCATATAATGCTATTTCATCCTATCATTTTTCATGTCTCTTAGAGCTAACGAGGTACTGTAGTAGCAAGTGCTTCACAGACGCTTTTCATGAGTCAGCTTAGCCAGTGCTGCTTGGATTTAGCTTCGCTCAGAGAGGCCAAATGATCTCCCCTCATTCAACTTTCATTAAATGTAACATACACAAGGAGAGGCACAGCTGACAGAACTTACAGGGTTCTCTGACGGTTCATTACATCCACTGAAACGCAATTGTCTGTCTTCGCCATCCGTGCATTTGGGGTTTGGTTTTGTTCTTCTGGGTTAATTTCAGAGTGACAGTGGCAGTTCTCAGCCTTGCTGAATTATTTAACTGCATGCAGCCTATTGGCATTATAATCAAGGCCCTGAGTGGTGGTGCAATATGTTCTAAAGCTCTCATAGTATTTTATTAATAAGCTTCAGATGATGAGCTAGGGCTCTGGGGTTAAAAACTACTTTGTATTTGCCTATATCGGGGCGAACATGTGCTTAAGTTTGAATTAGCTGGTGTGACACAGGTGGACTTCTCAAAACCGTATTGTTTTTCATCATAACTTGCTTGTGTGAGAATCAGCCTATGTGGTTATAAATCCTTTCTGCAAATATCTAACTGCATGAAGCTGAAATAGCCCATGTAACCGAGGTGTGATGTGAGTGATCTCTGTATTTAATTTTTAATAAGCTGCAGTCTGTGTGTGTGGCTTGAGCAGCAGTGAACCTAATGCTACTACTCCATCCACTCCCTGTTTATAAAAACGTACATTATATTGTACAATAAAGTAAAATATTTATACCACCCCTGCCTTGTTTGCTAGCATACCCAGAAGATAAATCTAAAACTGTTGATAACTCAGCCTATCTCTTATACGTTGGGGCTGTGGGAGCATGTGAAGCAATTTTACAACACTCCCTGTATGCTAAAGTTAGCAGGAAACAAGCTTTTTGCTTCAGTTTACAGCTGTAGTTAGTGTCTTATGGACATTTCAAGTCTGTTACTGTATGCACTCCTCCTGGTTAGCCTAACTGAGCCCAATAGATGCGAAAATGTACCAAAAATGTGAAAAAAATAGACTCTGAGGCTTCAGTTTGCACCTGTCCATACACATATGATGTCATCCGGTTATCCCCGTACAACAGCTATTGTGTAACGCTAACAGCCTGATTGATGTCTTGCGCAATACATTCCACAGTTCCCACTGTGATCTAATGTTTCCATTTTGATAAGAGGTGGCGTCACATGCAGCCTGGCCTGATTCATGCTGCGGCAAGATGCTAATGACACCGTGGCTGGATAACAGACTGTATATTAAAGATGGACGTAGCCACTGTGACGTCTGCCACTGGTTAGTGAAGTCAGGTGATGAGGAAAGGGGTGGATCTCACAATGTTTATTCCTACAGAAGCAACTTGTGAATGACAAGGAATGATCACTTTAAAGCATACACTCTTTTGTTGTCTGTTTGACTGTAACTGGGGACACGATTTACAAACCAAACAACACGTTGTACTCAGAAAACCTTGAAATTAGTAACTGAGGTCATAAACTTAGCAGCAAAGCATTTACTGAGGTGACAGATGAAGTGAGCAGCAAGGTTGTTTTCCCATAGACGTTCACATAATCTTCAATTAGTCTTTTCACAACCAGAGGAGATGATCCTTGTTGGCACTAGAAAGAATCTAAGTTAGAGCTAATGTACTGCTAGATGATATGTCGGTTTTTAAACTTTTATATGCAACAACATGAGCAATGTTTACGACACTCAACTTTAACAAAATGAGGTTTCATCTTCTTAAGCACGGTCTCTGTTCATTCTGCGCCAACTCCCAGGAGGCTGGTTGTTTCCAGAGCTGTGGAAATCCAAAATATCAGCAAAAACTTCCCAATATTTTACAGGTAGTTTGTTTCCCCCCACTGCCAATAAATAACCAATAACAATCCTGATGTAAAATTCAACCACTGAGAATTAGGTCAGAAGAAAGCCTAAGATGAGATCTTACATTTCAGTGACATAGTTTAATTGCCTGAAGTATATTTTCAGAAAAAACAAAAGTATATCTCTTCTTAAAGATCTTTTTGTTTAAAGCCCTTTTTAAAATTCTGAATAAATGATAATTACATTTCCCATGATAGTCAGCAAAATGTGGGTTACACTAGCTTTTTATTTAACACATTTTTCCACATTCGCAGAGTTTCATGTGGCTGGCTTATGCCCATTCGCAGTGAGAAAGCAGGCACGAGAGGGAGAGAGAAGTGTTTGAATTTATCATTTAGAAGACGGGCCCAGAAGGCTAAACAGTATCTCTTTCACAAGTCATTTTCAGCTGCATATGGTTCATGTTACACATTAGCGTGAGTGTAGTTGGGTGAACTGAGTACCACATTGAACACTCTCCGATAGAGACCTGCAATCTTCCATCATTCTCTGCTTACAGTTTCTGATGAATCATTCACATATGATGGGCTGAGAAGTTCCACATTGCATTGTCTTTATAGCTGTATATGCCCAGCTCTTTGTTAAGTCTTTATGCAGTCATGCTTCATCAGCATAGTGAGTCATCATAGATGCCGGCTCAGCTCAGGTCGGTCACTGTCCGAGAACGAGAACGTTTTCATAGCGCTGTGAGCCGTCAGCTTACTGAACCGGTTAGATTGCTGCAACAACAAAGTCTGACCTCAACCAGGTGGTGTGCTATAAATCCAAAATTACTGCAGTATTTGCATATCACCCTGGCTGCCTTCAATCTTTGACAATAATCCACACCTGAGAAATGTTTTCAAGTATTATCTTGTCCAGTAATTCACTGAACATCTCAGTGGGAGTTAATTAAAATGCCTTTCTGCCCTCTTGCTTACCTCATTCTGCATTTCCTGCAGGGTGCTCATCTGTTCTGTTAGCTACCATCTGACTGCCTCAGACTCGGTGTTAGAGGAGCCGCCAGTGTTAGACCTGCCTCCAAGCTACACAAATATTTCTGCATGCCCTCCAAATGCTCCTGTATCTCACATTGTCAAGGATCGTTTCAAAATGTTTGTCAGGGCCCACAGTTCTCCATCTTGACTCTCGGCTGAGTGATCAGAATTTTCTTGTAGCAATTTGTGGTGAAAGTTTGTGCGGTGCAAATTTGCAGAGCATAAAGTGTGTTCGCAAGTGTGAAAAAAGGTGAGAAATGCGAGAATTAGACCTATTTCAGGGCTACATTTTAAGTATGTTGAGGATTGTGTCACAGTTTGATTCAAGCAGCTAACGGTGACGCTAGCTTTGGAGTTTAGACCAGCTATAAGATTAATATCATGCAATTAGTCATCTAGTTTTCTCCTTCGGGGTTGAAAGCAATTCAGTGACAGACTTTGGTGCTGTGCTCTGCCTTTAATGGGGACATACCGCAGAAAATGTGGGCTTTGAGGCCTGCTTCTATTGTGGTTGGCCTCTGTTAAGTAGAATGAGCACACGACAGTAATCACTGACCCTTTTTTTATTCTTGGGCTGCAAAAGGAAAGGTGTGTCCTTCCAGATAGTGTGCATGGTCACGTGGCTCTGCACTGATCACACATCAAGGCATTCTTTTCCCCCCTCTGCTCTAGTTAATACACAACCATTGTAGGAATAAAGCAAGAACACAGAGCTCTATGTGAGACAGGCTTTTTGTGTTTTGACACTGTGGGTTGAATTTAATTTCATTCCACTGACACGTCTTCAAGCAACAGCAATTTAAACATCTTCGCTGTTATTGCTTTTCCCCAGAGTGTGGATGTGATTTGTTGTGCAAATTTGGGTGAGTTTGCATTCAGTATTACAAAAGATAATTGGAAGCTTGGCAAATTCTTTGGAGAGAATAAGTGAGACCTTTTTTTTTCTCCTTCCTGTACTCAAGGAAAATCCTGTAAACACTGTAGCAAATTATTCACACACCATCCTTTTCAGTTTAGTCTAGATTTAAGGCCACAAATATGTTCCTCCAAACACTTTAAGAGATAGATAGATAGCCAATCCAGTCCACAGCCCAGTCAGTAATCTAGTGTCTGTTTTGCCATACATTAAAGATGTAAAGTGACTATATGACATCTATTGCACTTAGAAGTTGATTATATATTAGCAATACAGCAATAATAGCACATCCTTCTAGATTTTGTTCCATATTAACCTTACTTGCATTATGCAGTCTGTCTGCCACAGGATGCAAAAGGTTTACTGCATAAAGAAAATGCAATAGCTGCAGAATCTGACAAAAATATAAAATTTTTTGTCTGCCTTTGCTGTCTGTTTCTTTTGTTAAAGCACAGTACAACACGGAGCAGTGCGGTGATGCAGTGGCTAAAAATGTCACCTCACAGCTACCCAGATGTTTTCCACATAAAGATGACTCTAGTTCTGTGGTGTTTAGTCGATTTTCTGAGTATGAATCATCAACTAGTTTGAGACGTGAAGCATCATAGGAATCTTTTTAAGATGAACAATTTTTGCTGGTTTCAGATGCTCAGATGTAAAGATTGATGCTTTGTATTGTTGTGTATCATCATGAACTGAACATTTTAATTTTGGTTGGAAATTTATGACTAAAATGTATATTTTTTTTAATACTTGACGGATTTAAAGGATGTGCAGATTAAAAGGTTATTGGATTAAACTATTTGGTCAATAAGGGTCTCTATTTGTAGAGTTTGCATGTTCTTTCTCTGCATTCAGGGGTTTCCGCTGGATACTCTGGCTCCTTATCACAGTCCAAAGACCTACCCCTTAGAATCTAAGGCTTAGATTAATTGGTGATACTCTATAGGCTGAATGTGTTTGATGTCTGTCTCTCTGTGTTCACCCAGTAACAAGGTGACATCCTTGAGATTAAACATGTCTTTTACAAGCATGCTGTCAGTTAAGACGGGCAGCATTATGCTAGAAGGAGTTAGAATTTAAACCCTTAACGCCCAGTGTATCCTATTTGATACATACAGTTTTTATGTGAGACTTCAGTGTGATTTCTTTCCCCTCGTAAAAACATAAATAAATTGCACAATACAATTTTAAGCAGTTACAAAAAGCCACATGTTACAAATACGTTACAAATTAAAAGTCATATATGGAAATAAAAATTGAATTCATTTTTTAAACTAATTTGTCAGGTGGTTCAATAAACTCTCGATTTTCAAAAAAAATTGAATTTTATGGCAAATATTTCATGGTTTAGGGGTTAAAGGGTTAATTGTGGGAGAATAAAGAGCACATGCAGGAGAACACAGAAGCAGTGTTTTAATGCAACAACCCTCTTGCTTTGAAGCAACAGCACTAACCACTGAATGAACCACCATGCTGTTAGCTCCAATAGTGTTGCTTAAAAATAAGTTATTCTGGGTCAACATGCCTAATTTTTCTCTCTGATTTCTAAAGTGTTGCTGATTGTTTTGCTGGTAGTTTGCTGATGGCTGTTTGCTAGCAGACATTCTTTGTTGAGATAAGCCTCTACAGTATTTATTACTCTCAGTTGGAAAGAAAAGGAAAAGTTGGTAACCACCTACTTCACATTGCCCCTTATTGATTCAAGTTGCTGATTATCATCAACTTTCCATAGAGCCTGGTTGCCACTTCACTGGTAGGCACTTCATGTGCGGACAGGGCTCCTTTGCAGCAAGATTACAGTCTGTAATAACGTTTGGAAACGCTATATAAAAATCTGTTTCCACTTCAGCTTGATTAGAAATTTTCAGTAATTTTCAGTATTATTTGGTATTTTACTTCAGGTAACCAAGTAATAATGACTTCATATCAAAAGATTTCCTTTATAGTCGTTTTATATTGAAAAGAACATTTTGCCGCATGTTCAGAAAGTGACTTAAACCATTAGCCAGTTTCGAAACCAGTCAGATAACGTTCTGTTGGAAATATGTTAATCATCCAAGTTCTACATTTCAGAAGCAAACGCTAAACTTTAAAGTGATGCAATCATTTATCGTTTGAATGTTTTTGTTATCTGTGCTATTCATTGTATATTCAGTACATTTTAGTGGATTTCTTTTTCTAATGCCCTTTGGCCCATCATACATGATAAATTGATTTGATAAACTAGTCAATTCTTGCCATCACCAGTGTGTGAATGTGTGCGTGAATGGGTGGATGGCTGGGTGTGTAAAGCGCTTTGGGGTCCTTATGGACTAGTAAAGCGCTATATAAATACAGGCCATTTACCATTTCTTGCTGGAAACCTTTTAAAATGTTCAGACACCAGTTTCAAGTTATATATGCCTGCTGTCCAGGACAGATAAGTCCAGTTCCTTGAGCATTGCTCTTATAATTCCTCCATGGGCAATGGTCTGTCTGGCTCTGACTATACTGGCAAGAGGTTGAGGGAATAAATGTTCTCCCAAGTATTAACTGAAGGCTGGAATGTGTGGTTCGTTATCATTTTCTCCGTTTGGAGTTTTTTTGAATTTACTACTTTTCAGCTTTCTATGCTGAATTTGTTCTTTGGAAAATTTAGGTAAAAATAAAAACTTAGTTGAAAAGCTTAGTCAGTTTCCAAATTATAATATCTAGAATTATAGCTTGTTGTTTAACATTTAGAGGAAGATCAAAATGCACGTAGCTCTCCTTTAGGCCTCACGCACTGTTTCTGCTTTTGTTGGTGTTTTGTAGAGCTATTGTCATGTCTGAAAGTTTGCCTGTCTGCATACATCTGCCTCTTTTTCTATGTTTACATGGTTGTCCTGGATTTGGGCAGTGCTGCAGTCCATTAGCCTTAAGAGTTTATATCACAAGAAGTGAACAGCTTCCTCTAAGGCTTCGAGGTTGTGGACAGTATTTCCAAAGGCGAGTGATAAATGGAGCTTGCTTGGTATAACTTTCCCTCACAACAAGGCTATCAATTCACTCCCAAGCAAACAGTTGCTTTTACTCTGAGCTGTATTGTGCCGAACGGAGGCCAGGAAGAATTAATGCGAAGATGAGGGCACTCAGTGGAGATCGAGAGGGTGATTTGGAGGTTCATGACAAACAGACTTGGCTGCAGTAGATTTAATGGGCCAATTTTTTGAATACTAAGTCCTATGATAGAGTTCTTTCACAATAATCCCAATTGAAAACTAATTTTATCCAGTGACTAACATTTGACGTTTGCTTCTGTTAAAAATACTACGTGGAGGTTTTCAGTGGAATACATGTACAAATTGGTGCACAGGGTGTGAAGACAGAGTGCTTAGCATTTACCACAGACCACCACTTCCTGTTTGCTAAAGTGTCATTTCTGATAAAGATTCCTATCTATTCTCATTTGCTGAACTTAACAAGATGTGTGTCACTAAAAATGTTGTTACCCACTGATCTGATCAGTGGCACTTCAACCATGTTTTGATAACACCCAAAACAACATGTGAATCTTTATTTTTTTTAAATGATAAATTTGCCTCTGATGCTTGTTCACAACTGGAACTGTCCCATTAGCATGATTGGTGAGTCTGAAAGAGGAATAGGAGGGGGTGGAAGACAGAAATTCTGGGCTTCTGTCACAAAGCACTTGCTCATACTAAACGCAGTCGACTTTACATTTTGATTTCTTTGTACCTCCCACTGCTAGAAGTTATTTTATGATGCATTTTAGTGCAGGGAGAACAACTCCATATGTCAGCTGCTTAACTGTGTGGCATGCCTAATAGGCTTACAATTCAAGTGTTTTAATGGGCCACAAAGACAGGTGAATTTAACTTCTAAGGTGCCATACAGATTTTAATCGCCCACACTGCATGGTCAAAGTCTAAACGAAGTGCATACCTGTCCAACTGTTTACACATCCAGTACTCCACCGCCTCTGCAGGTGAAACCCGTCTATCGTCTTTCATGGTGTTTAAGGTGTGGCCCTACTGTTGGTCCTCTCTGGTTTCCCCTCCCCCCCCCTTCAGCTCCGTCCAATCCCCGCCACCAGGAGAACTCACCTGAAAGGATTTGTATTTAGGGCCGATACTCGTCTCTGATTGGCCAGGTGAAGGCACTCTGCCTCAGGGCTTCACTACCAATGGCGACAGTGCTGCGTGACTCATAGGGAGAGGACAAGTTGCTTCACTACACTTCTCCTTTTTCTGTTTCAACCAGCAGCCTTTGCATTGTCTTTCCCCCCCCCCCTCATCTCCAGCTTTGTTTTGTCACTGTAGAAAGGTGTGGGGCCGGCCTGTCCACGTCTTTAGGCACCATTGTCCTCCTTTGAACACGTCTTGGATTATTTCCAGTTTCACCATTTGCTGCCGATTCTTCTCTTGGTTGCTGAGATCAACACTTGGTTGGTTGTTATTATGGACCTTGTCACCCGAATCCTGTGTCTTTGAGGTCAGTGACAGATACTTCTCCTCTCCACATGTTACCTGTTTTAAGCTTTTTTTCAGTGTGTTAAAGGAAAGGTATACATTTTACATGAACAAACATAAATAATATATATTTAGGACGTATGTGTGTAAGCGGACAAGCAGTTAGGTAGTTGGTCGCTCTGCTGTGCATGGCTCTCGTTATCGTTGCGCTGACATGTTTTAAGGTTTTCAATAGAGAGCTTTAACAAGTCATCCCAGTTCATCTTACATTTAGGAGCATGTTTTCTCTTGTATTGCATCTTTGGAGGCATACTAATAAATCAAATGTCACTTCAAAAAACAACAAACCTGCATTTGTATTTATTCTAATCACCTTCTTGCCCATATCTCACCATTTTCCTCAAACCTAGTTGAAACTTTTTAGTGCCTGAAAACTTGTCAGATAAGGTAATCACTTTTAACTTTAAAACCTGCCATGGTAAGATATAACAAGGATGATCTTTAACTTATATGTGTGTTTGTTGCATTTCTTTTCTGAATTGTTGCCTTATATGGCGTCTTGAAATAAGGGCGGGAACAGTATTTTGCAAGTCCCCTGACCAAGCCCACATGTATTTTTCACTGTGTAGTAATGGTCTACTAAAAAGTAATTACACTCTGTGATGATTTTGATCCATAATTGCTACACAAATGTCATGCTATTATTAAAAACTGTGAGTTGCTACATTCACAATTAGAGTAGAGCAGAAAAAAAGTGGAGGAACGGCTGTGGTTTCGCTGTTGGAGCTCTTAGCCACAGCCACATCGAGTCAGTCATGCAGAGCTTCTTCAAAATCTTCTGATCACTAGAACAGAATGCTGCTTATCTTGTAATGTAGATGCCCAGATGTTTGACATTTCAGCTCACAGCAAAGTCTGACCCTGAAGTGCCTTGCTTCCTTTTCTGTGCATGTAAAAGTTAACCTTGTGTAAAGTCTGTCAACCAAGCTATTGTGCTTAAAGTTGTTGAGTATCTGTTTCTAAAAGTTGCACAGAGCAGCAGAGATAAAAGCACACTTCCTGTTTCCTCAGAAATCTACTCTGCACTTTGTGCACCACAGTGTGCATGCAATACATGTTTGAATAAACATGCCTCCGAGTCTGAGTAACATTCTGACTTCACATGCACTTTTTTCTGAATCTGCTTTTAAATGTTGCTTCATTGAAGATGCACAGAACTGTGCAGTTATCTCAGTGAAACCCCGGACAAGCACAAAACATATTCGTCTAATTTTTAGTCTGGCTTTTAAAAAATTTAATTATACACAAAATATCCAAGCGTGTGATTATTTCATTGGTTTGGCATTCAGAAATTATCTTGTTGATGAAATGTTTTGCATAACAGCTGAGGCCCATTAAAGGCAGTGTAGAAGAGGTCATCTTACAGACACCAAATAAATAAATATCTCTATACTTTAGACTGAATATTGAGTATTATTGGGTGAGGGTCAGGTGGCCTGGCCCTGAAAAACAGAGGACTTTTTATTTTTTTTTATGTGTTGTACCATCAACACATGATTCAGTGTGTGAATGGCTCTGTTGTTGAGCCAGTAGAAGTTTGCATTTGACCTAACTTGCCTTACTTTCTCATCATAACCTATGGCCCACCTTGATTTGGATTGTAAATGAGGGCCTCTTGCCTCAGAGGCTGAACTCATAGTGAAGCTGCTGTTTAGTGAGGTTTTATGCCTCTCATTGAAAGAACAGGAGGGTGGCTGGACTGCAGTCTTTCTTCCTTCAATACAGTGTCAACAGGTCTTAGCCTGTAATTAGATCATTAGGCTTGGGCAAGATGACGGAGGTGGTGCAAGATAAGGACGTGACGAGAGCAGGAGCAGGCGGGGTTTAGTTTATTACTACAACTCGGGCAGGCCGAGATATGTAAAAATCGAGGATTTGTGTTGCTCCGTGTTGCAGGTGCATGCTATCACGAGAAGAAAAGAAAACACAGAGCCAACTGTGAATGGTCAGGTACAAACTGTTGGTTATGATTTGAATAGAATAAATGAGGGAAACATCACCTTTGTGTGGTCAGATGGCAGAAGAGACATGGTTGTTAAATAGTCCTAATTGTCGATGTTATGACTGCGTATTCAAAACAAAAATGGTGCCATAATTTCCATGATTCAAGTAATGAAATATTTTCTTAGTAATATTATGATGGCTTTGGCAAGAATTATTTCTTTATATAAACAACTTTGCTTAAAGTATCAACGTGTTCATGTGTTCCTTTTTGCCTGGTGACCATGACTTCTACCACTACCCTTCAGCCGCCTTATTTATTGAAGCCGCTGCGGAAAACCAGTGAACTCATAGTGAAACTAGTGAATAAACAAGGCTTGTGCACCCGCAGCCATTGTATTTCAGTAAGCCCAACTGGAAAATGTCTCATATGAGAAAGCACAATCAGAGCCCTTTTTGTATTGCTAAACGATGAATTTGCATCACATTTCCACGTCAGTTTCCCCATTTCTTCTTTGCTGTTTTATTTTCCATTGCTCTCTTTTTATGGGATGGATGGAGACCTAAAGGTTAGAGAAGTACACTTGTGATGGGAAGTTTGAACTCCTGTGACCCGTTGGGAAAACCTGGGTGGGGAAAGTTAATGTATAACTTTCTCTTCTGCTTAATAGCTACTGTGCCACTGAGCAAGGCACATTCAGTATTCAGTTTGTAAGCTGGTTGTGTATCTCTGTTAATATGCTGCCGGTGCTCAAGAACCCTCCCTTGATAAATAAAGTTAAATCGATTGAGCAACTGTCTCCCTGTGTTGCAACCGTCTCATGCTCGGAGCGTGCTAGGACTGGCCGTTGTTCTGGAGTACATACCGAACCAGAGCTGTTATCATCACATCTCACCACAGAGCCCAAAAACCAAACCGTTTGAAGTTCTTCTAGCCTGGTGTATTTCATTTCAGTCCCCGATCTTGATTTATATTCGAGGGGCAGAGATTCTTTCTTTTGTCTCTTTTCTTCAGTGCATTTCTCTTGACTGGGAACTCGTCTGTGATTTCTTTCAGTGATGCTTTCTCTAAGATACTGATGATCATATTGTTTGTCTGTGTTAGTCCTTTAAGTCATTTTTATTTGGAGTTGATTTACTGTGTAGTGAAGTAAAAAGACTTTCTAGACGTTTTACTTACTACATGTTGAGGCTAATTTCTCACATAAATACTGTAAATCCTATAGATTTAACCCCTCCAGTGTGTACTCATTAACTTCGTGGTTACAGGAGTACTGGTATAATAAGCCAGGCTGAAATAAGTGAAGTAGGTCATGTTTTCTCACAAAGAAAGAGGGCGCACAAGAGAAATGATCTAGTAGAGGGAATATCAGGTCACACCTTTTCACAACACTCCTGCTTATGTAATGCAGCATACTTATCTGGGAGTATTTAACATAACACGAGTCTTGGCATGACATATGGCGTCACGGTCAGTTGTGAAAAAGTAAATGTAACTTCTGTTAACTCAAGTACCATACATAGTCATAGTTTTGAGGTACTGAAACTTGGGGATTCTGCTGCAGTTCAGATGGAAGTATTGCATGTTTTCATCTGCTACATTACTTCAAAAGCTTTACTTAGTAGTTATTGTTCAGATTAAAAGAATAGAGAACATTAATGGTTCTAGTGCGCTGCCTCATGATGATGTATGAATATCTATGCGCTGTACAGTTGCGTGTTAAGGAAAGTAAGATTAACCTTTGGTCAAGTTAAAGATCTGAGTACTCCGTACACCATTTCGGCCACAGAGAAATGTAATGCAAAGTCCTCCTGTATGTTTCTAGAATAAAAGGTTGATCCTGCTGCTTTCTTCTCAGTGGCATAAAATTCAGGTGGCATTTAGCAATGGATTAGTTTGCATCCTTGATAGATTTTCAAAGGAATAATGGCGTCACATATTTAAAAGGTGCTATATTTACGTATCTTAATGTGAAAGTTCAGTTGCTATCAATGCAGTTCAGCTATCTCCTGTGAGTCTCTTGCTCTGTGGTTGGACTCTACTTCCTCTGTCTTCAACTGCAGCTGGTGGAGATGATAGTCCTTTTGCTTTGAGGCCTTGGTGAACTTAGCGTATCAGTACATGAACCAGTTCCACTTGGATTCACCAGGGGAGGGTTAACCCACAGGACTTGAGACTCACTGGACAAGTACTGACATCAGCAACTGCCACGATAGGGACTAACCGCCACCACGCAGGCATGGACATGTAACAGGACAAGGAACTAGCTGGTTAACAGTAAGTGAAATAAATAAAACAAATGCTCCATTAAAAAAAAAAAAAAATCAAATTAATAACTTCCCTGTCCAAACTTTCCTACTTCACATGAACTGGGCGTGACTAGTTGTAACACAAGATAAAAATAAAAAAGAAGACGAAGACTAATGCTAAGATTAAAATTACAACAGGAAAAGGATGCAGAGATTTGAGAGTTTGGCTCTGTTTCCAGGCAATCAGAAGCACAACTAATCATCTAATTGCTTTAGATCAACTATCTGTGGGGAGAATTGCCATTTAGAGATCGATTCTACCCAAAAAGGATTGTGATATGACCTTTTGGCCACATCCCTAGTACTAATAAAACCAACAGACTCGCAGAAACAGTGAAAAATAAATATAACATTATAAAATAATGAACTGGAAGCCGTGTGACTTGGTTAATGCTGTTTAGAAATTACTTCCCTTTTACTATCATGCAGTTAAAGAGACCTACTATTAAGTTAGTGTTGGTTGATATACATTTTATATAAAGCGTCTACATGGAAATGATGATAACTCATTTATCTTGATAAAAGTTAATCTTTCATAGACGTTGTTCACTGAAGTTGTGTGGGCGGAGTTTGAGGTGCAGATTTATTTTTCCTCCAGATAAAAACAGCATACAGACATCAGAAAAAAATTTCCATTACAACCTTCTGTTGTGCTCTGCATTTATTTGAAACACAGTCATTTGGGACTGTATACTTTACAAACAGAAAACTCCATGTCTTCTGATGCAGTTTGATGCAGTAGCTATAAATTGCTAATGCTATATAAAGGCCTGAAAGCAAGTTCACAGTGCAGTGTTTCTGTTTCCAGTTATGTGGGTTCCACCCTGCATGAGGTAACAAAGTGCAAAAACGTAGACTCACCCTGTGTGAGATGCATATGAACATAAAACTGACGCAGTCTGAAAAAAGTTTTAGCTGCTATAGTTTCCCAGCTCTGCTGTGCTAATTTAGACATCGTGTTTGCTTTAATGCAATATCGTTTGGTACAAAGAGTCATTCTAACCCAGGAAAATTGATTTGCCACATGTTTTTAGGAGGCTTTTGGTCCCAGACACCCAGCTGCAGTGGTGTCTGAGTTTGAAACTTTCAGCAGCAAGCTCTCTCATATGGAAAACTGGCCATGCCCATAATTACTGCAGCTCTCAGATGATCTGCTGAGTGGATCCCCTTGTCTGAGTGCTAGTGTCCAAATATAAAAGGACTGTAACAGACTCTCAGTCATTTAATTTAGCTAAAACGAATGCCTGAGGGCTTCAAGGAATGACTGCTGCATGCAAATTTCTAAATATTTGTGGTGACACGGTCGATGTATAAAAATCAATAATAACATCACTTCTTACATCTGTAACTCTTAAGTTCTTGCATCCACACATTTGGGTCTACATCCAGAAATGATTGATTTATGTGACAGTACCGCTTTGGTTCTTTTCTTTCTTTTTTTTCTTGCGTATTCAATTGCACCTCACCCACAAGTAAAAAACCCCCACTGCATTCTCATTACATAACTTGACAATTCAGAAGATCTCCTTATTTGCAGGATGTTAGATGTGAATACTGATGACATAATTAATAGCAGCATTTAAGCTTAGCTAGAATCAGTCAATAGGCCAGTGATTAACATGCAATATTATGTTTGTTTAATCTGCCAGGGATGAAACATCCAAGATAGCATGGGTAGTAGGTAAGATTTAGAGCTAAGTATAGTGATTTACTATGTTTTTAGTCGCTGCTCTAAGTTGATCTAATCAGCTGTTGAAGTTTGTAGGCTATACTAGGATGATAGTAATGTAGTGGTTTTTTTCAGTGAATAAAGATTATGGATGGGTTTGATTCTGTTGATGCCAAAGTGATTATGGCTTCTGCTTGTAGGTCCAATTTTTTTTAGTTGTTAATGGTTTTATGTCACCGAGTCAGAAAGCAGTTTGAAAAAAGCCTGTCATGTGACTCAGGTGTGGAAACGCTCCACTGCCTGGAGTTTGACGTCATTGTTTTAAAATGCACGACTGTAGAAGTGCAGTATATAAAGAACTGAGGCACTTTGAGGCTTGCTGCTATTACAGATTGGACAATTTCAAAATGTTTCTTAGCTGGACGAGTTCTTTGTTGGGGAAAAGAAAAATCAGAGGAGTAATTTTTACAATTCAGTTTTTTTGATTTCAGCCAGCTTGGCAATCCATTCAGTTGTGTTTGTGCTTGTTATGCTTGGTCTTCAACATGTATCCTCACGAACACACAGTGTGCCTTTGCTGAGCTGAATGAGGCCCACCTGCTCTGTTCTTGTTCCACAGAGCCTACTTTACAAGCCCTCTCCCTCTGCGTGTTCCTAGGCAACAGCCACTCCTTGTTTACCTTTGCGTTTTTGCATTGTGATTCTCATCAGAACAACATAGCCCCAGCCCCTCTGGAGACTGATTGTCAGGCTTTTTTATTCAAAGTAGCATGAAGCAAAGATTAGCATTTGTATGAGCCTGTAGTGTGTGTATCTTCCTAGAAACCCGTCATTTTTCTCTGCACGTGTAGTTATTACTGATCCCAAATATGGTAAAGCAATCACACCATGTAAATATTTTGTTATACAGCAGTACTGAGCACAGCTGTCTCTTTAACCAGGTAATTTATTGTCCTCATTTCATGCACCTATGCTGCACCTTCCTCATCAGGTGACTGTCATAAACAAGTGTATTTCATAAAGCCTTCTCAAATATTGACCAGCCTGAGCAGACAGTCCTTCTGTCCCTTGAAAATATGTCAAACATCTCTCCAAATGTATGAGATGCGCCATAGATTCACATCTGCGGCAGCTGGAATATACGAAGTGGATGGAAGAGGGTGGTATTAGCAGGGAATGTTAATTTGAATGTTATGAGTAGTGAAAGCACAGGGCGGACACGATTCTAGAAAACTTGTTAAGATGACGAGCTCAAGCGTTTGAAGTCCAAGTAATGCTCTAATACCTAAAGCATGCAATCCAAACATTTGTCATGAGTCCATGAGTTGTTGTAGCTTAGGCCTGTTAGGTCACTCACACAGCTTAACACTTTTTCCCTTGTCTGTATTTGAACTATGCACCTGGCATCTTGAAAAGCAATGACTTTGCACTTCTGTCCTTCGATCCAGGAATGGGCACACGTTTACTGGCTGCAAGATTAGATAGAAACATTGGCCAGTGGTATCCAATACCACACTGACCCAGTATCCAATTGTGTGAAATCAGATAAGCTGTCTTGAAGGGGCTAAGCTGACTCAGTGTGAGTGGTCCTATCAGGGAGGCTTTATGGGGGATCAGATGAGAAGAGCTGATTTTGTTGTTATTAGCTGTTAAACTGAAGCATGATCCCTGGAAGTCTCAAAAACAGCCGGGGCTGTAAATCTGCATCTCTGAGAGGGTTTTATCCTTTTGATGAAAACACAATAAATGTAATAGGATGTAGTATGACATGCTGTACTCGTATTATATGGTACTTATTTCTAAAGACAGTGAGCATTAAAAGGAATACTTCTGAGAAATACATTTATTTGCCTTCCAGCACAATAATGATGAGGAGATTTAAGGCACTTTTATGTTTGTGTGCTAAATCTAATGTAATTCGAATGTTATAGTGTGTTTGCATAATTTGTACAAAGATTTGTAAAGTCTATACTTTCACAAAGTAGGTTAACTTATCAGATAGTAGGCAGGTTTTGTTACCTTTGAACAGAGCTAACTTTTCCCCCTTGTAGCATTAGGTAAATATTTATCATACAGATCTGTGAGTCACATCAATCTTCTCAGCTTCCATGTTGTTTCTTGAACTAGTGGTAGAGTCAAACTGTATGACGAGACAAAGATTACTTTGTCTCTGTCTGACTATGTGCCTTCTGTAGGTGTGTTGCCTGTTAGGTATTACTGCATGCCTGACTGTAGGTGGACACATCAGCCTGCTTGTGTCCAGACCTGTTTGGTATGCAGCCTCCTTTGCAACAGCCAGGTCCCCGTTTATATTCCACAGTCAGCCCTGAAATGTCTGGGCTCCATCCGTAACATGTACCTACGCTAAGAGACAATCTAGGAAGTAGCTTGGCAAAGTTCATACAGTATAGGCTTTGTGGATTTCTTCCCTCCAGTTTATTAGGAATTGTGGAAAGTTGCGTAAAAGAGTGGCAGCTATCAGAGATAAAGTTGGCATCGATGTTTATAGTGTAAGAAGGAATTTAGGATGTCAACTTTCAACTTGTTTTTATTTAAACTCAGTTGATAGTATGCTGCTGGTATTTTTTCCCTGGGTACAGTATCCTCCCTTGCTGCTGTCAGTATTCCTGTGAAATGACATCTTCGTGTTGGTATGAATGTAAGTGCTTGTGAGTGGTACAGTAGTGCAAATTTTATAATTACTTTAAAGTTTGAATTTTAGTTTGATTATAGTGATGAAGGACAGGTTTAAAGCAACTTTTGGTTCATACAAAGACGCGACTCTGTATGTACTAGCCTCCTGTATATATCTAGCGCTTGTGGGAAGCTTGCTTATTGTCTACAAAAAGAGAGAACTTTGACTTTTCCAGTCTAGTCATGCATCAAATGGCTCCCACTCAGCAGCCAAAACAACAGCAGAGCCTAGAAGTTCAGATGAAACATTTCAGCTATGTCTCCAAGAAAAGAATCAGCAGGGCAATGAAACTCCTGACACACATGCACAGACATGCATGCTTTTTATTCATCCGTGCTCTCGGAGTTCTTTTTACTCAGAGATCTTTTTGGGTTATTTTGAAATTATGTCATTGAGCTCAGATGTGAGAGCATTTAGAAAAAGCAACAACACGGTTTATATAGTTCCCTGAAAACAGGCCAGTACAGTTTTGGAGCCAGCTCTGGTTTGTAAAAAGCTTGGATATATCTTATTGCTCTTATCAAAACTTCAGTTGCTTCTTGTTCTTTCTTACTGGCAAAGAGCAACATAGAAAACTGAAATCACAAGCTTTACATGCTTTACT